AAATCTCTGTTAACTAATCTTCCTATGCCGAACAATTTTTCTCACCAATTATCACTCAGTGTTAGCCTACCTTTTCTAAAATTTGTTCTTATTTATTTCATTTTTGTAAAAATGTCCCCTATTTATTTATTTTCAAATATGTATAGGCCATGTTACTCATTAATGTAATCATTCTTTTAATATCACTTATTCTCTTTTAAAGTTTTCCATATATACATGTATATATATATATATATAATTTAATAATGACGGCATTTTTCAATATTTTCTTTCTATTGGATGCATCATTTTTTCTTATGTGTTCTTAACCGAATTCTTCATCAAAAGCCGCTAACGAATGATGGGACTTTTGTCTGCATATAAATGTCTCCATATCCCCCTTTCCTTTGACAAATATCAGGCCCCGAAATATAAACTCATAGTTCAAATATAAAGCCTGCTTTACATAGAAAGGCACCTGGATCAAGCCCGGCCCTCCGGTTGAATACATTCGACTGGCGACATTTACCGTGTCTCCCCATATATCATACATTGGCTTAGTTGTTCCAATGATCCCTGCTGTAACTGGTCCAAAGTTATAGCCAATCTTGATCTCAAATTTGTCACTCCCGATTATAAAATTATCGTTGAATTCAGTTAGCGCTTGTTGAAGCATAAAACAGTACTCCATCAAAGCAACCAAATGGGCCTTCTCGTCATCATTATTTTCACGTTCTAGAGTATTGAGACCAGATGCCACCATGTAGCAATCATTGATAGTCTTAATTTTCTCCACGTCCTTAAATATTGGGTTTAACATTAGGTCATCAAAATTACATATGATAGTATTGAGCAGTTTGAGGGCACCTTCACCTCCTTTGTAGTCTTCACGGTAATATTTGGCGAAGAAATTTGAGATGCAGGCAAAAGCCACTCCAACGTTATGCACAGAGATTGAGTAGCTGATCGACCCTGGATCAAGGCATTTAACGCCTTGTGATATAAGGTAGTCAAATACATATTTGGGTATGATATTATATAGAAGGCTCTGGGCCTCAAGCTGCAAACTCTCGGCCTCTTCAGTTCGAATCCGTGCCTCGCGAGTCACATAGAAACATAGACGTGTCATTAACTCCGAATTATTTGTGATGAGAATCATAGCAAAGAGAAACAGAAAGATCTCGGCAAAAAGATATGTTTGAGATGCCTCTAGAGTATTGCGAATATAGCAATTCTTAAAACTCTCAATGAATAAATTATCCTCTTGATATTGGCATGATGGTGTGGTCGTACGAAATGCAAAGATAGCTAAAATGCTTCCTAAGATCTTTATCATTCGTAACCACCATGGCGTTGAAATATTGAGAGAGCAAGTAAGATATGCCAGCCAGCGTAAATCCAGCTGTGAGGCCGTGGTGTAATTATCTATGAATTCTTCTGAACCCGATATCGGCAAGCATAAAAGCATTGTGGGGGTTAGCGCATGAAGAGTAAGGAATATCTCTTTTATAATAGGATGCGTGAGTGTCCAGTATAGGCGACGTACTTCTGGTCTCGACAGGAGGCTAGCATATGTTGTTGCTGGCCATATAATTAAGGCAGAAACAGATAAATCAAGAACTACAACGCTCAAAAATAGTAGGACCTCATTCGGCTGGTTACTAGCGTTGTAGATAATGACAAATACCAAAGAAATTTCTATAAATAAACTAATTAACAAAGTTATTATAGTCTCAATCAAAATTGCCAGTTTTACCGCTTCTACGGTTACAGGAGCAATGTGATCACGTGTATGGTTCAGATAATGCCATTCAATTTCCTGATCCAAGAAGAAGTTAGTTACTGGATGT